CCGTGTTCGTGGGCATCAGTATCTGGTAACCACTGGCAACAAGTGGTAACTAGTGTGACATAGCATCGTTGATATATAGTGTCCATAACGCCATTGTTACAGAAACGCTGTAGCTCAATCTGCAACATGACGTCACATAGCTTTAATATATGACGTCATTAATTGTTCATGACGTCCCAAACGGATTGCATTACGTCACCTTATGTCTTTCCGATAGTGACAATGAGTAATACAAACGATAACCTACTTACAACTTTGAATTACGGTATAACTCTCAGGATTCGGGGCTTGCAAAATTCCTCTTAGTATCCCTCTGTGTAAGTGATGAGGTGAATACATCACAGTCTGCAATATTTCAGTTACACCACAACGGCCTGTAAAAAGTCAAATCTGGACCAGGCAATCCAGTGATTAAAAGCTTGAACAACGGTCCATGTCAGTGAGGCACGATGACAAACCGAACACCATCAGTAGGATCTCGCGACAAGCATCCACTCGAGCGGGAAAACAGTACTTCGCTACAACCGACTTTTTGCTTTGACTGCCTTTGAAACTGGATGCCTTTGAAACCGGATAGCATAAGCAAAGTTCGTGCACCCGCTACTATCCAGACCTAGGCCGTAGTTAACTTTTTTTGACGGGGGGCAAATAAGATTATTCATTTTTTGTTCAAGTTAACATACACAAGGAAAAATGTTTTCTGTTTTCTGTAAAAAATCCCCATGCTCCCCCCCCCCCCCCCCCCCACCCCCGATAATCATAAATATATGTGTTGTGGCTTTTGCTCCCTTTGAAACTGGATGCCTTTTATTCAAACAATACAGCTACGAGATCACAAAATCTAGAAAACGCCTTTGAAGTAAGTGACAGAAAAATAATGGGAGGTATAATGTACATAAGCGAGAATCAAGCAGTTATTTCATACAATAAGGGTAAACGCTTCTCTCGAACATATTTAACTCGAATACATTCAAGTTCGTTTCGGTTTCACGTTTTCGTGAACACCAGGGCCCACTTGCACAAAGCGATGTTAGCACTAAGATGATCGTAACTCCCATACTTTAACATTGGCTTACAATAGTTGTAGCGCTGAGATCGCTTTGCAAGTGGGCCCTGGTGTCATCACTACACAATAGTAATTCATAAACACTAGCTCATGATACAGTCAGAATCGTACACACAAGTATGACAACGTATTTGAAATACTTTAAAGAATATAAATAGGACGTTACATTTGCACTAAGACTAATACGAACTCCTCTTTGGGAGAACGTCAAATCACAGCTGGCTTCGATGAGCTATTTTGAAACACAATACAACACACATACATTCACGACATGTACGTAGACAAGTGAGTAAGCGAGGGAGTGAATGTTGTTACCAATCTTCCAGCAATACCACGGCAACCTGTATGATTTTGGTTAAAGATTAAAGCCTTGTGGTCGTACACCCGCTACCATCAAGACCCCACGTGACCACATGTCCTCGTGTCAGTCGTCTTGTGCGGCAAGCTTGCGATACTTGTTATTCTGCATACATTATTTTTCTATAACCACAAATCATAATTATATGTGTTGGGGCTTATGTGCGACTCGATAATTAATATATTTCCTGCGGCATTAAGGTGCGATTTACTTTGACGATTATGGATAAGGTAGTATAAGGGTTCTTTTTGGCCCTGTAGAAATCATTGTAAAGTTTGAAATAATGACATGAAAATTGCGTCCCTTGGGCACGCCAGAAACCTATGATTGTGGGTTCGAATCCCGGTTCGCCTCGATTATGTTTCTAGGTTTGTCAGCACCATACCCGTGCTCGTGGGTTTCACCGAAGTGGTTAACGTCTGAGACCTGCAGCACTTTGGGCTTTCCTCCCACATTAAGCTGACACGCCGTGATACAACTGGAATACTGTTAAAAGCGGCGTTAAACCAAACTCATTGACTCTTGTACTAGCAAGTTTCATCACATGCGTCACTGATTTTTCACCAGTGACAATTAATCGATGATTTTCTGTTGTCCCTTCATTTAATTTTCTTCGCTACTTTTCCTTTTACGCCCTTTGAATCTGTTTGGTTGGATAATCAAGACTGGCCATTTTCTGGCGTTGGCGTTTAATATTGAAATTATGACAAAAAAACAACCCTTATCCCACCTTGTCATTTCGTAAACGACGTAAAGAATACAATAGTCACAAAATATGTTCAGTTGAGATCTAGTCATGCAAGTATTTCGTTATCCGCTGTTTCAACAGGCAGTTCTTCCTAATGGTGGCCCCATACGTGTTCCTTGCCTGAAATATAAGCAATGAAGTTAATAAAGTACTGCATAAGTTATTCATGTTGGTTTAACACACTTTATTAAATTTATTAGCTTGGTGAAGAGTGTAAAGTCAGTTGTTTTAGAAAATATATTTCCTTATAGCTCAGAGCAAATAAATCGGTTAAGGAAATACTCATAAAGACGAATGTTTAAGACAATTTAGAGAGATTTGACCTTAGTGTACATTGCATAAACATACGATTTAAACAAACACATGCAATGTGCAACGAGTGTAAATTGATAAATTAAACAAAGGTAAGAAACACAGTGAACTTCGGATATAACGAACTCGTTAAACTCGAAGTATGTTACTGGCATGAACTGCAGGTATTATCGAGAATCGTGAGCCACCAGAACAAAATAACCTTACGGGTGCTGGGATACAATTGTGCTGTGACGTCATAAAGAAAAACGTTTGACGTCAAATTACTTCCGTAAAATTCGCCATGTGTGCGTTCTGTACAACATTATCTAATTTTTCTCTCGTTAGATCGTAATGTAATACAAATTTATTTTAAAACATATTTCAGCATACGTGTTCTTTCAATTGATCTGAAATTACGTCTAAAAACTGAAATCATTACATAAGCATTTATAAGTCCAGATCGGCGTTGTTGGATGTGAAAATACACATTGATTTTTTAGTTATCGATTTGTATGAAACATTCTACAGTGTCATGTTAACATATTCGATATTCTATACACATTGTATTCGGACATGACTGATAATGGTAACTAACTGATTTTAAGGGAGGATGGCAGCAAAGGTGTCACTTCATGGGTGAGGTGAGGTGAGGTGATTTATAGTGATATATCTATTCGTATAATTTTCACGACTATTTGCCTTCTACGCCCAATGGGTATCGACAGACAACCCACAATCCACAATTTGACACAAGTATAAAGACCAGAGTAAGTGAATGAGTGAGTGAGTTTGATTTTACGCCGCTTTTAGCAATATTCCAGCAATATCACGGCGGGGGACACCAGAAATGGGCTTCACACATTGTACCCATGTCGGGAATCGAACCCGGGTCTTCAGCGTGACGAGCGAACGCTTTAACCACCAGGCTACCCGACCGCCCTATAAAGACCAGAGGTCCAAGCAGGACTTTCATTTAGATTTAGATCAATTAGATTTCTGTTTGACATCGCGTTCAAGATGAACGTATTTATATGGCGACGCGCACGTGTGTGTGTGTGTGTGTGTGTGTGTGTGTGTGTGTGTGTGTGTGTGTGTGTGTGTGAGTGTGAGTGTGAGTGTGTGTGTGTGTGTGTGTGCGTGTGTGCCTGTACTAGTCTGGACTAATACCCGTTTTTGTAGAGCTAGCCTACTGTGAGAGAAATACCATGCCGCAGTTTTACATGCATACCCCCAGACCCTGTATTCTGACTCTGACTCCTTGTTTTATCCCACGTATGCCTTGCGACAGGCAGGGTAACAACAACTACCATCTCTTAAGGTCTTTTGGTATGACGCGGCCGGGGATCGAACCACCGGCTTTCGTTTTCCGGACAGAAGCCCTATCAGCAAGACCACGGAGGCGGTTGGCTTCAGAAAATATATCAGGTTACAGTGCTTAAAATCTCAAATATGTTTCAGAATATGTAACTGTATGGTCCAATGAAAGTCCTGCTTGGACCTCTGGTCTTTATAGGGCGGTCGGGTAGCCTGGTGGTTAAAGCGTTCGCTCGTCACGCTGAAGACCCGGGTTCGATTCCCGACATGGGTACAATGTGTGAAGCCCATTTCTGGTGTCCCCCGCCGTGATATTGCTGGAATATTGCTAAAAGCGGCGTAAAATCAAACTCACTCACTCATTCACTTACTCTGGTCTTTATACTTGTGTCAAATTTCGTAAACATGTTCGCTTGTTCCGTACCCTTTCATGGTTTCAAGGTATGTGTGATACATTGGTTGTCAAACTTAATTCATATAGAATATACACCTGACCGTTATAACCCAGTACTATTCCGTAATAGGCATAGATATCTAGTTTGGGCACATGTTCACCTCTTGTCTCGAGGGGGTACTGGTGGCCCAGTCGTCTCAGGCGCCGCGATTCGCTGTGCAGAGTTGCGCCCTTTGGGCACGCCACAAACCTATGATTGTGGGTTCGAATCCCGGTTCGCCCCAATTATGTTTCTAGGTTTGTCAGCACCATACCCGTGCTCGTGGGTTTCACCGAAGTGGTAAACGTCTGAAACCTGCATCACTTCGGGCTTTCCTCCCACATTAAGCTGACACGCCGTGATGTGACTGGAATACTGTTAAAAGCGGCGTTAAACCCAACTCACTCACTCACTCTTGTCTCGAACTTCGGATTCCCCGATATATTTTGCATGGTCAACATTTTTTCGAGTTAAAAAGGTTTCCCTGCATCTTTGTCTTCATGTCTCCAAACAGATATTCTTATGCTTTTTGACACGTTTCGATATATAAGCACATGGTCTTTGGCAAACCAGCTGACATCCTCCTTTTACAACCCTGCACGTTTCACGAGAGAAAAACAAGTAATGTTGAAAGTGTTCAGCTTATAACTAGTTTCAGCACGTGGTGAGGTCAAACTTATCATATATATGAACTGAAATATAAATAAATGTAATAAGCTTCCTAGACTATAACAAAAATATAAACTAATTGTGAATTAGAATGCTTTGAGATAAATATATACTTTACCACCTATCAGTGAAATCCAAAATTCGCTGAAAACAAACGCGGACAATGACAATGCAGTACCTATAAGAATTTACACACACAATGTAGAATGCCATCTTGCTGGTTTGTTGAGTTAGTGAGTGTAGAGTTAAGGCCATCATCCTACTTGGTATTACTTTAAAGGCTGATCACATATATTATATACGCGTTTATCATCCAAAACTGGCAAATGAAATTACATCACAATGCTTTGCAGACCATTGTGACGTCACTGTTACAATGACGTCACAATCAAATGACATCACTAATAGCTCTGCTACTGAAGCTGTTAGCAGCACTTTTTACACCGAAGACACTGCTAATTACTGTCTTCAAATTGAAAAAGTTGGAAGAATGATGTTGGATGATAAACAGAATCTCACCCTCGTGTCTTTTGATATCAAATACAATGTATATCAACACTCGTTGATAAAAGTGACAAAAATCCTCTGCAAGCCTTGGAATTTTTCCACTTTTATCAACTCGTGTTGATATGTTTGATATCAAAAGACACTCGGGTGAGATTATTTATATATCATATTTTGAAACACGAGGAAAAAAGTAATTGATGTTTCTAAGTGACATATATTCATATATATTAATCTTTCATGACTAAATTAACATTGCAATGCACGTCAGAAACCTATGATTGTGGGTTCGAATCCCGGTTCGCCCCGACTATGTTTCTAGTTTGTCAGCACCATACCCGTGCTCGTGGGTTTCACCGAAGTGGTAAACGTCTGAGACCTGCATCACTTCAGGCTTTCCTCCCACAATAAGCTGACACACCGTGATATAACTGGAACACTGTTCAAAGCGGCGTTACCCAACTCACTCACTCATTTACTCTATACTAACCGTCCTGGTGCAGTTTTTCCTCACTGTCCGTGGATTCCGCCGAGGAGTATTTTTGTCCGGATCTGGAACTTGGACTAGCGTTAGTCATCCCGGATTTCCCAGTCAGCCAGTAGGTATGCACATCTCCCTTGAGGAACATCTGGAGCTCTCGGTCCTCCTGACAACAGAGTGAGTGAGTGAGTGAGTGAGTGAGTGAGTGAGTTTAACGCCGCACTCAGCAATATTTCAGCTCTATGACGGCGGTCTGTAAATAATCGGTCTGGACCAGACAATCTAGTGATTGACATTATGAGCATCGATCCACGCAATTGGGATACGATGACATGCATCAACCAAGTCAGCGATTCTGACCACCGATCCCGTTAGTCGCCTCTTACTACAAGTGAGTGAGTGAGTGAGGTCAAAAACATTATGCTAAAGCCCACTGGTGCTGGTATGGTGCTGGTATGGTGCTGGTATGGTGCTGGTGTGCTGACACAATACATATCATAGTCGGGAGAATCTGGGTTCAAACGCACGAGCAGCGTTCCCTTAAGGGACCATGTACAGCTTATTGTGGCGCCTTATAATACCCGCTACACACACATATATACATCTGCAAGGAACGTACACATTCTATTGTAAAACTGAAGTTCTGCATCGACTTTACTTCAGTGATGTCAATCACTAGATTGTCTGGTCCAGACTCGATTATTTACAGACCGCCGTCATATCGATAGCTGGGATATTGCTGAGTGCGGCGTTAAACAACAAACAAACAAATAAACATCAAGCAAAAACGATAGTAAAGGGGTCCTTTACATTAGAAGTAATACTATATTTAACAAAAGCTTTAGTAGATGTAGTGTGATGGCGTCCTTAAGCGATGAACACAAACTTGAAGCGAGACAACAACGAATTTTCGTAAACATTATGCGAGTCATCTGGGACGATGTGTTGAGGTGAAAGTCTTCGAGTTGTGTCTGTTGTTTTCAAACCTTAGCCAGCATGTCTTCTCGTTCTTCGACATAGAAGTCTCCAAATGCCAACAGGGCGTCTTGAGAAGTTTGACTCAGGTGGATTCGACCGGCTGAAACACCCAATACACCATTAACAAAACTCGGGTAAACTCGGGTAAACTCGGGTAAACTCGGCTTGTTCCGCCGTCTACATAACACTTTGGGTAGAGAAGTGATTTTGCAGGAGTTCATTGTAAACCATGTACTGCCGCCGCATATAGTTCGCTTAGAATGACGGCCGTTTTATTTAGGACTATCGCATAACAAAAAAGGGTTTGGCGAAAGGGAAACTAATATGGTTTAAGGACTGTGAGATAGACTAGTGAGAGAGTATTGTTTTACGCCAATTTTGGAAATATTTTAGCAATATCACGGCTGGGGACACAATAAATTGGCTTCATGCATTTTACCCGTGATGAGCGAAAGCTTTAAGCACTAGGCTACCTCGCCGCCCCTAGATAGTCTGGTATTTAGGCTACGAGTACTGTCAGGTCTGCAGACTTTGGGAAGGTGTAAAATTCCCACAGGTCGTGGACGATTGAAACTATGTTGGGAAAATTACAATCACGAGTTTGGCGATGACACGCCAAGACTATGAAATCAAGACTAATCTTGGATTCGAACCCATGACCAGTATATTTTGACGATAAAGGGGGCTAAATCTGCAAAGAGAATAGCCAACTTGGCCATCGTACCTCACTGATACAACTACCTATTCAGCTCATTTTTAGTCCAAAGGCGGTCGGGAAGCCTAGATATATTTATACAATATGTATAATCTCATGAGTGGTGCCCATGACCAGTATATATTGACGATAAAGGGAGCTAAATCTGCAAGGAGAATAACCAACTTGGCCATCGTACCTTACTGATACAACTACCTATTCAGCTCATTTTTAGTCCAAAGGCGGTCGGGAAGCCTAGATATATTTATACAATATGTATAATCTCATGAGTGGTGCATGTACGTGTGTGGCTGCTTGTACTAGTCCGGACTGATGCCGATTTATAGTGCTAGCCCACTGAGATACTGAGTTTAACATGAATACCCCACCCAGACACAGTATACTGACTCCGAGCCGACCAGTCCTTGTTTTAGCCCCTTTATGCCGAGCGCCATATTGATATTGATTGTTTATGGCCGTCCCTGATATTGAATTTATTTAAAACATTTCTTTGTCACCATCTTTTTTGGCCTCCCATGCAAAACCAAATCCACAAATGATCAAGAACTCAATATTTTAAAGAAAGTGCACCAATCTTTCTCGATCAACAAGGCCTAGACTATTCAACATAATATAACATGGAGGTGTCTCTCCAGAAGCTTAAGCCAATAGCTAATATAACACCCCGTGACATAGAATCCACATGAATATAGTTTCCATCACATAGCAGCATTTGTAAATCTACAACTTGCCTTGCCATTGCATGTGTTTGTGACGGCCGCCACCGGCGGAGCAGGATACGCTTACCTTTTCGCGAACACCTGGTGTCATCGCTATTTGATAGTGATTCCTAAACACATGCTGATGTTACATCAGAATCAGAATCATACAAATCGTCTGCTTTGAGAAGAGTGAGTGAGTGAGTGAGTTGGGTTTAACGCCGCTTTTTAACAGTATTCCAGTTATATTCCGGCGTGTCAGCTTAATGTGGGAGGAAAGCCCGAAGTGAAGCAGTTCTCAGACGTTTACCACTTTGGTGAAACCCACGAGCACGGGTATGGTGCTGACAAAACTAGAAAACATAATCGGGGTGAACCGGGATTCGAACCCACAATCATAGGTTTCTTGCGTGCCCAAGGGACGCAACTCTGTACAGCGAACTGCTGCGCCTTAGACTACTGGGCCACCCGTGCCCCCGCTAGCACAAGAACGAACACAGTGTAGTTATCGGCAATATGAACATGAACATAATTTTCATGTCACTATTTCAAACTTTACAATGATTTCTATAGGGCCAAAAAGAACCCTTATACTACCTTATCCATAATCGTCCAAGTAAATCGCACCTTAATGCCGTAAGAAATATATTAATTATGGAGTCGCATATAAGCCACAACACATATAATTATGATTAGTGGTTATAGAAAAATAATGTATGCAGATTATATACCAAGTATTTCAAGCTTGCCGCACAAGACGACTGACACGAGGACTTGTGGTCACGTGGGGTATGGATGGTAGCGGGTGTACGACCACAAGGCTTTAATCTTTAACCATTGGTTGGCCTGACTAAGAGTTAAGATGAGTATGGAAAGGGTGATGTCGCTTTTATTTACGCCCTAAACATAATTCAGAATCTTACATCACTCACTTCGAAAGGGATGAAGAGATAATGTTGAACTTACGCTTCCCTAGAGCTTCCATTTTGGCGGCAACGCTGACGGTTTCACCAAACAGACAGTACCTCGGCATCTTAGTTCCCACGACGCCAGCTACTACCGAACCTGGGGAATACACACAGTTCAAGTATACTCCCACTTTCCGTATCGCTATGAACGTTATGTACAGTAAACTACGGTTATAACGGACTCATAGGGACTACTAATTTTAATTCGTTATAACCGTAGTTCGTTATAAGCATATATATAGCATAACTACAGCAAATAGTCGGGACTAAAAAGTAAGTTCGTTATATCCGTTAGTTCGTTATAAGCGTGTTCGTTATAACCGTAGTTTACTGTATATGGGTATCCGTTGACTTGTCATGTCAAAGGGTTGGAGCAACATATATTTTACAGGAATGGAACTAAATGTTTCGGAATGAGTGGGTGAATATAATTTTACGCCGTTTTTAGCAATATTCCAGCAATATTACGGCGGGGGACACCAGAAATTGGCTTCACACATTATACCCATGTGGGAAATCGAACCCGGGTCTTCGGCGTGACGAGCGAACGCTTTAACCCCTGGGCTAGGCTTGGTTTAGGAGATGGAGCTACAAACTATGGGGGGTGGAGGTACATGTTAAATAGGTGGAAGTACACGACAGACGGGCAGAGTGTGTGCAGTGCGTGTTCAAAAATAAATATTAAGAAACAAACATGGCGACATTTACACCGACCTGAATGGCAACCAATCCTCAGTTTAAATTTCGTGCCTGGAAGGTGGGGAATCTCCAGTCGACTGATGTGGTGCAGCAAGTCTAGGGCCATCGTGCAGATCTCAGCCGCGTGACGCTGTCCGTTTCTCCTGGGTATTCCTGGAAATACCCCCTTTACTTGTTATCCCTCATAAATGTGGCATTGTGTTTTACCATCACATGACTAAAACATGACCCTTTTATGCAAGCGTATCACAAACCTGACACCACCATGTAACCACCACACGTGCCGAAAACATGACCCTTTTTTGGGAGCGTATCACAAACCTGACACCACCATGTAACCACCACCATGTAACCACCACACGTGCCGAAAACATGACCCTTTTTTGCAAGCGTATCACAAACCTGACACCACCATGTAACCATCACACGTGCCTCATACCTTCATGTAAGCACACAACACACCTGACACCAACATATAACAATCACACGTGCCTCATACCTTCATGTAAGCACAGAACACACCTGTGACCAACATATAACAATCACACGTGCCTCATACCTTCATGTAAGCATATCATACCTGACACCAACGTATAATAATCACACGTGCCTCATACCTTCATGTAAGCATATCATACCTGACACCAACATATAACAATCACACGTGCCTCATACCTTCATGTAAGCATATCATACCTGACACCAACATATAACAATCACACGTGCCTCATAGCTTCATGTAAGCATACAACACACCTGTGACCAACATAATATAACAATCACACGTGCCTCATAGCTTCATGTAAGCACACAACACACCTGTGACCAACATATAACAATCACACGTGCCTCATGGCTTCATGTAAGCATACAACACACCTGTGACCAACATAATATAACAATCACACGTGCCTCATAGCTTCATATAAGCATACAGCACACCTGTGACAAACATAATATAACAATCACACGTGCCTCATAGCTTCATGTAAGCACACAACACACCTGTGACCAACATATAACAATCACACGTGCCTCATACCTTCATGTAAGCATACAACACACCTGTGACCAACATAATATAACAATCACACGTGCCTCATAGCTTCATGTAAGCACACAACACACCTGTGACCAACATATAACATTCACACGTGCCTCATACCTTCATGTAAGCACACAACACACCTGTGACCAACATATAACAATAACACGTGCCTCATACCTTCATGTAAGCATACAACACACCTGTGACCAACATAATATAACAATCACACGTGCCTCATGGCTTCATGTAAGCATATCATACCTGACACCAACATATAACAATCACACGTGCCTCATACCTTCATGTAAGCATATCATACCTGACACCAACATATAACAATCACACGTGCCTCATACCTTTATGTAAGCATACAACACACCTGTGACCAACATAATATAACAATCACACGTGCTTCATAGCTTCATGTAAGCACACAACACACCTGTGACCAACATATAACAATCACACGTGCCTCATACCTTCATGTAAGCATACAACACACCTGTGACCAACATAATATAACAATCACACGTGCCTCATACCTTCATGTAAGCATACAACACACCTGTGACCAACATAATATAACAATCACACGTGCCTCATGGCTTCATGTAAGCATATCATACCTGACACCAACATATAACAATCACACGTGCCTCATAGCTTCATGTAAGCATATCATACCTGACACCAACATATAACAATCACACGTGCCTCATACCTTCATGTAAGCATACAACACACCTGTGACCAACATATAACAATCACACGTGCTTCATACCTTCATGTAAGCATACAACACACCTGTGACCAACATAATATAACAATAACACGTGCCTCATAGCTTCATGTAAGCACACAACACACCTGTGACCAACATATAACAATTACACGTGCCTCATACCTTCATGTAAGCATACAACACACCTGTGACCAACATAATATAACAATCACACGTGCCTCATGGCTTCATGTAAGGATATCATACCTGACACCAACATATAACAATCACACGTGCCTCATACCTTCATGTAAGCATATCATACCTGACACCAACATATAACAATCACACGTGCCTCATAGCTTCATGTAAGCATACAACACACCTGTGACCAACATAATATAACAATAACACGTGCCTCATAGCTTCATGTAAGCACACAACACACCTGTGACCAACATATAACAATCACACGTGCCTCATACCTTCATGTAAACATACAACACACCTGTGACCAACATAATATAACAATCACACGTGCCGCATAGCTTCATGTAAGCATACAACACACCTGTGACCAACATATAACAATCACACGTGCCTCATAGCTTCATGTAAGCATACAACACACCTGTGACCAACATATAACAATCACATGTGCCTCATAGCTTCATGTAAGCATACAACACACCTGTGACCAACATAATATAACAATCACACGTGCCTCATAGCTTCATGTAAGCATACAACACACCTGTGACCAACATATAATCATCACACGTGCCTCATACCTTCGGGAGGTCAGATGCGCTGACTTGGTTGATGCATGTCATCATATCCAAAATCGGGTTGATCGATGCTCATGATGTCAATCACTAGATTGGCTGGTCCAGACTCGATTATTTACAGACCGCCGTCATAAAGCTGGAATATTGCTGAGTGTGACGTTAAACAACAAACAAAGAAAAGCGAAAACACATACCTGACACCACCATGTAGGCATCCCCGATTGTCTCCACCTTGTAGACCTCGTACTGGGCGATCCTGTCGTCGAAGCAGGAGTAGAGGCTGTTGAGCATCTGCACCACCTGTACGGGGGAGCTGCGAGCCGAGATCTGAGTGAAGCCCTGGATGTCGGAGAAGAAGATGGTGGCCTCGCTGTAGTTTTCGGCATGAAACTCCTCGTCACTTTTGAGGATGTCAGCCACTGACTTCGGTAACATCTGATACAGCAACGTGTCCGTCCGTCGTTTCTCTTTATTCAGAGCTTTCGTCCTGGAATGAAAGTGATAAGGGGGTTATGTATGGGGTCCTACAAAGGAATATTGTCGCGATATCGATTTGATTAATATAGAATACTAAACGAGCTCCCGTGTAATACCAATTTTATGGAACGAGTGAATAGTTCTAGTATCTGACGAGCGAAAGCAAGTCAGATACCACAACTGTTCACGAGTTTTATAAAATTGGTTTTACACGGGAGCTCGTTAAATATTTTATTTATTACTGGCCATTTATAACGTTTTTAGAATTATACTGTTGAGTGTGAATAGGCTGACACCTACACGATCCTAGGCATAATCCAACTGAGTTTAACACAGTAATACTTCAAACACGTCAAAAGTGGAAACGTATGAATTTAATACCATACAACGGTCCACCTTTAGAATTCAGGCGTCCGTTCCACAAAATTATCGTAGCGTTAAGGTTATCGCAACTCACATACTTTAACTTAGACCAACGACTGTCGTTGCGCTACAGTACGATCGCCTTGTGGAACGGGGCCTTGCACCTCAAAGTTGACAATCACGTCACAGTACCCGATGACGTAATTTGTGGAATTTTGTTGCAAGATCCATCGGCGAAACAATGCCATGTGACGTCAGCCTAGCAACAAGGTTGCTGGGGTCATCGAGTGTGCATAAACTCCTCTCAGTGATCTATCATCTCCACCCGCAATGTCGTTGAATAAGCCAAGGGATGTCGAGGGCTTTCAATATTTGTTCGTAAAACGTGATCCGAGGGTACATAAGCACGCGTTTTGGTATTACACAATGTGTAATACAGCTGTATGTTTATTAAACGGGTGATCTCTTCACGGGCAAGTAATAAAGTTTGTTATGTTCTGGATAACCTTTGTAAAATTAGGACATATTGGAGTAGGACATAATGGCAAGAAATAGGCATGCCTAGCAAGGAAACAGGATAATCTCTTCGTGAGGGATCCAACCACCGATCTTCCAGATGCTCTATCCACTACACCACGGAGTCCGTCAGATGGAGGCACTTTATCCGGCTCCACAAATATCGGTGTATGCGTCAGAACCCGTCGATAACAAACAACACTAGTACCCCGCTTGCATAGTCAAGTGCCACAAAATAATTCTTTTCATGTTTCTCTGACCCTACCGACCGTAATTTTAATGGTAAAATATAAGAGTAAAATTGAAGGGTATAATACTATTTCGATTACATATTAAAGGTTTCGAAAATTATCTGATACAAATTGGGCCACTTATCACTAAATCGTACGCTTTCTAATACATTCTACCATCATTTTCATTTTACTATCATTTTTAGGTGCAATGGTACGATGTGCAGTTCCCAAAATAGTTCATTATATAATTAGAGAGTGCGCAAACAATGCTGTAAATTCGTGCGTGGAATGAGCAATTCGTCGACGAAATAATGAATTAATCAACTTAAATTACTCATTTTTTCCCACCCATGAAGCAGTTTCTCATTTCCATTTTTAAGTTCCCAAATAGTAATAATACAACCTCAATGTTCCATGATACACATCTTAGTTGCGACCCGTGAAGATCCGGGGTAGAATAGATCTTCAGCAACCAATGCCTGCCGTAAAAGGCGAGTATACTGTCGTAAGAACCTGGACCAGACAATCCAGTGATTGACATCATGAACATTAATCAAGCAATTTGGCTCGACGACATGCATCAACCAAATCACCGAGCCTGACCACCCGATCCCGTTAGTCGCCTCTTACGACAAGCATAAGATGTGGTGTCACATTGTGTTTCTGTTAACAAACTACTAGTATGCTTTTAATATTGAGTAAGAAATAGAAGTCATCGATCCAATCGCGTGGATCGATGCTCATGATGTCAATCACTGGATTGTCTGGACCAGACTCGATTATTTTAAAGACGGCCGTCATATAGCTGGAATATTGCTGAGTGCGGCGTTAAACAACAAACAAACAAACAAACAAACAAGCAAACAAACACATGGGAACTTACCTCTCCGCCAGTGTTATAGAATACTTTTGAATCTCATTGGTCAAAGAGTACACTGCGTATATTATGACAGGACACAGTATGAAGACGCAGACAAACACGATGGAGATCGCCACCATCTTCTGCAAGTTCGTGGCCTGCCTTTCGTCCAGCATCTGTGTGATCTCGTCAGCGAGCTCCTTCTGGGTCTCCAGCAGCAGGTCCATGTAGCGAGTCATGTTGCCGAACCACAACTGCGCCATCTTGACTGACCCACGACCAGCCAGGTCATTTCGTCTGATCTCCGCTCTCATTCGTCCAAGCACACCCAGCAACATTCGGTTACCCTTGAAAGAGAAATGCTAAAGCGAGTGAGTGAGGTTCTACGCCGTTTTGAGTGATAATCCAGCAATATCACGGCGGGGGACACCAGAAATGGGCTTCACACATTGCACCCATATCGGGAATCGAATCCGCGTCGGCGGCGTGACGAGCGAACGCTTTAACCACTGGGCTACCCGACCGCCCAGAGAAATGCGTGAAAACTGATATTAAGTGTAATCAAGTATAGTATTGCCTTGAAATATTATAGTAAAAGCACGCTTTATTACACTATACATGGGTTTAGAGCAAACTTTATTACTTTTCTAAGATACCGAATTTAAGACTAGTCTTTTGCTTTATTAGAGATGGGTTATAAAGAAACCTGCAATGAGAGGTGCCCTAAGTTGACAACAGGGCGATCTCATTGGCTGTTCCACCTAATTGCCTGTACTCTCACGTTAAGAGACATATTTACATTTTAAACACAAAATAACACTACTAAAATGTGTTGTTTATTATTTAAATAGGTCACATTTCATTCCCTGTTAAGTGTGCAGTTATCCATATTATCATGCAGGAATAAGAACGTTTTGCTTCAATGTTATCCATTGATTCGAAAATATTCTCCAAGTGCAGAGCGGGGCCGAGCTAACATGTAAAAAACAATGAAACCACGGTTATAACGAACACGCTTATAACAAACTGACGGATATAACGAACTTACTTTTTGGTCCCGGTTTCTTGCTGTAGTCATGCTGTATATGTACTTATAACGAACTACGGTTATGACGAACTAAAATTAGTAGTCCCTTTTAGTTCGTTATAACCGTAGTTTACTGTAGCCGAATTCGAAGTTCGGTGTCGCTGGTTATTGTGAGCTGAGGTGTTTTCTGTTGTACTAGTACAGTACCGATACCCGTACACCGACGTGATTCGACGGCCTGGGGCGTGATATGGCGTCGCGTGGGACGAATATTGAAGAGCAACAGCGGCCGTTTTATTTAACTGCCGTATATTGTTAAATGCCGTACGCTGAGCAACAGGTGCACATGTGGTTGTGACACTTTTCAAGGATTGCTCATCCCCCTTGTTGTGAGAGACGTACATAATTCCTAGGGCACGTACTCCCACCTCTGACAATGCTGTGACTGCTGTGGCGCGGACACAGCGGTTTCAGAGATGGTAGACGGACACAGTGGTTTAAGAGATGGTAGACGGACACAGCGGTTTCAGAGATGGTAGAAGGACACAGCGGTTTCAGAGATGGTAGACGGACACAGTGGTTTAAGAGACGGTAGACGGACACTGTGGTTTAAGAGACGGTAGACGGACACAGTGGTTTAAGAGGTGGTAGAAGGACACAGTGGTTATAGAGATGGTAGACGGACACAGTGGTTTAAGAGATGGTCGACGGACACAGTGGTTTAAGAGATGGTAGACGGACACAGTGGTTTAAGGGATGGTAGAAGGACACAGTGGTTTAAGAGATGGTAGACGGACACAGTGGTTTAAGAGATGGTAGACGGACACAGTGGTTTAAGAGATGGTCGACGGACACAGTGGTTTAAGAGATGGTAGACGGACGCAGTGGTTTAAGAGATGGTCGACGGACACAGTGGTTTAAGAGATGGTCGACGGACACAGTGGTTTAAGAGATGGTAGACGGACGCAGTGGTTTAAGAGATGGTCGACGGACACAGTGGTTTAAGAGATGGTCGACGGACACAGTGGTTTATGAGATGGTAGACGGACACAGTGGTTGAAGAGATGGTAGACGGACACAGTGGTTTAAGAGATGGTCGACGGACACAGTGGTTTAAGAGATGGTAGACGGACACAGTGGTTTAAGAGATGGTAGACGGACACAGTGGTTTAAGAGATTTTAGACGGACACAGTGGCAGAAAAGAGACCTTGCCTTATTTCTTCTAAGCTACGTCTATTCAGAGAGTGAGTGAGTTGGGTTTTACGCCGCTTTTAACAGTATTCCAGTTATATCACAGCGTGTCAGCTTAATGTGGGAGGAAAGCCCGAAGTGATGCAGGTCCCAGACGTTAACCACTTCGGTGAAACCCACGAGCACGGGCATGGTGCTGACAAACCTAGAAACATAATCGGGGCGAACCGGGATTCGAACCCACAGTCATAGGTTTCTGGCGTGCCTAAGGAAAGCAACTCTGCACAGCGAATCGCGGCGCCTTAGACGACTGGGCCAGCCGTGCGCCCTAATACTATTAAAATTAAAATGTGGATGCGCGATCCTGCTTGACAGGAAAGAAAGGACGATGGTACCAAGGATACGTTAGATCACGGGGAGGTAATGTGACGTCAGTCAATTATGACGCAACCCACGATAACTATCTTATCGCACGATAAGGTACAGTCGGCGCCTTTGATCTTTTAGCGAAGCATCTTAGAAAATTATCGAACGTTCCTCAAGTCTGTCTATTTTCCAAAGGCCACAGAGCCACGTCCTGGTAACTGAACCCGCGGATCTGTATCAAAAGTGCAGTCAATAACAGAGCAGGGCGTAAACGGCGACTAACGGAATCGGGTGGTCAGACTCGCTGACTTGGTTGATACACGTCATCGTATCCCAAATGCGTGGATCGATGCTCATGATGTCAATCACTGGATTGTCTGCTCTAGACATGATTATTTACAGACCGCCGTCATATAGCTGGAATATTGCTGAGTCCGTTAAACAACAAACAAACAAACAAAACAAAGCAGGGGAGGAAAATGCATATGTCGATGAGACGTGGCCATGGCGCATTGACACATACACGTAGCGCCCTAAACTCCATTGCAGTCCCCTATTCATGTAATTGTTTTTCCCCGTTGCACGAGGGTCTCACTACCCACCGTTCACAACGATTGTCCTTAAATTTGTTTAGGGGGCACGGGTGGCCCAGTCGTCTAAGGCGCCGCGATTCGCTGTGCAGAGTTGCGTCCCTTGGGCACGCCACAAACCTATGATTGGGGGTTCGAATCCCGGTTCACCCCGATTATGTTTCTAGGTTTGTCAGCACCATGTCCGTGCTCGTGGGTTTCACCGACGTGGTAAACGCCTGAGACCTGCATCCCTTGGGGGTTTCCTCCCGCATTAAGCTGACACGCAGCGATATAACTGGAATACTGTTAAAAGCGGCGTAAAACCAAACTCACTCACTCACTCACTCACTCAAGTTTGTTTAGCAGAAGATATTATTGTGTCGATATTACAAGAGACGGGTAAAGTGTTGTTCCAACCGATTAATACTTACGTTTATATTTATTTATTTATTTTTTTATTTATTTTTTTATATTTTTTTACTTACGTTTATATTTCGTTCGTACAACGCATGCACCAGATCCGAATACCGCCTAGCAGACAGGAAGGTAGCATTTGTCACGTCCTGGCTCTCGGAAAACCACAGGTACACGTCACGTGACGGAAACTTGCCCGAGGCATAGAAAATGGTTCCCAAAGCTCGCTCAAGACCCATGTACTCTTTGGCAATGATGATTTCCTGGTATGCTACCAGACTGCGCCATATGGAGCCTGACTGGTCCTCTGTCACGGCATCGTACAGCCAGGTGATGAAAACCCGGATCAGAGTCGTGTACATCTGTAACTCCATCGTAACGGTCTGGTTCAAAGTGTCCAGTTCGTATCTGCAAAGGGACACGTAATAGGTTAGTGGTTGGTTTGTTGTTTAACGCCGCACTCAGCAATATTCCAGCTATATGACGGCGGTCTGTAAATAATCGAGTCTGGACCAGACAATCCAGTGATCGATATCATGAGCATCGATCCACGCAATTGGGATCGATGACGTGCATCAAACAAGTCAGCGAGCCTGACCACCCGATCCCGTTAGTCGCCTTTTACGACAAGCATAGTCACCTTTTTCGGCAAGCATGGGTTGCTGAAGACCTATTCAACCCCGGAATCTTCACGGGTCTAATAGGTTAGTGAGTGTGGGAGTGAGTGAGCGAGTAAGGGAGTGAGTGAGTGAGTGAGTTTTTATACCGCTTTGTAAAATAATCCTTACATTTCACGGCATGAGATATCAGATGTGTGTTTCACACATTGTACCCATGTGGGGAATCGAACCCTTGGCTTCGGCGGGACGGGCAAACACCCCATATGAACTAATCACATATCAGACTGTATACCGTCAGTAAAATTCCAAAATGGTTGTTACTGACCTAATATGAGACTATATACCGTCAGTAACGGCCTCTAAGGTTTGAAGAGTAGTCTCCCTTTGTGCCCTAACGTCAACGGTTCTAAGTGTCAACTTTCCATTTTGACACCAGATAGTGTAAACTAATCAGCATAATAAATTCGTTTTGGTGTCTTCAGTTGCCGTATATTAGGTATTAGGTAAGCAGGAAAATATTGACGCCTTGCTCGATATTGTTGACACCGTATACGGCTAATAGACACTATAACTAAGAGTATTGCTACACAGAAAACAATCAACAATGATACTCGTAATTGTTATGATAGTTCACATGATAAACCACTTACAACTGATCTGTAGAAAAACCTTGTTAAACCGGACGGTACAATAACAGTATAAATTAAGCGGGTTATGAAACTGACGGGTTTACGAGTTTTTGGTTAGAAGAAATGTCACCCCCAGCAATATGGACGTTCCATTGGCCAATCTGGGAGGACATAGCTTTCCAAGATGTGACTGCTTGAGTAAACCCTCCTGGTATCCTTGGAGATCCACAGACTTGAGGCCTCATCCATGTAGACACACTCTGGTGGGTGGGTAGCTAGGAGGGTGAATCATAATCGATACTACCATGGCACCCCTACTCAAAAAGCGTTCATACGAAACCGATGATTCGTTCTTATGGTAGGATGAGGATTATTCTGCATCGATTTCTTGCTATGCCTGCTCCAGTGGGTGGTCCTCACAAACTGAATCCGTTTGCCAAAGCAAATCGCATTGACAGTTTGGCTGGCACGTAAAGGAAGTTAAAAAAACCTTCGATCTGGTTCTCTGTTGTTTGAATGCAGAAAACCAAAGCAATCTCAAATTCTCCTATCAGTCAAATCACTAGCTAATGTTAGTGGTGAGGTTTCTCCCAACAGGACATTGAATAGTAGTAAATGCATTTTACTAGATATTGGACGTTGTCTTTTAGACTTGACTGAGGTTGACATTGTGACAGAGTCCCAAGGAGTTACTGCTGTCACAGTTAAAAGGATGATGAAGTCACCAAAACAAACTCATATCTATTCACATTTTGTCGTCAAAATTATCCAGAATCCCTTAAAGCTGGCTATTGCAGGGTAATTGTAAGTGAGTTGGGTTTAATGCCGCTTTTAACACTATTACAGTTATATCGCGGCGTGTCAGCTTACTGTGGGAGGAAAGCCCGACGTGATGCAGGTCTCAGACGTTTACCACTTCGGTGAAACCCACGAGTACGGGTATGGTGCTGACAAACCTAGAAACATAATTGGGGCAAACCGGGATTCGAACCCACAATCATAGGTTTGTGGCGTGCCAAAGGGACGCAACTCTGCACAGCGAATCGCGGCGCCTTAGACGACTGGGCCACCCGCGCCCCCGCTTGTCGTAAGAGGCGACTGGCGGGATCTGGTGGTCAGGCTCGATGACTTGGTTGAAGCATGTCATCGATCCCAATTGCATGGATCGATGCTCATGATATCAATCCCTGGATTGAATAGTTAGAACTCGATATTAGGAGTGAGTGAGTGAGTATGCTTTTACGCCGCTCTTAGCAACATTCCAGTATGATCACGACGGGGGACACCAGAAATGGGCTTCATACAATGTACCCATGTGAAAACACCAAAAGCTGAAACAGTCAACCAGCTGCTGTTTGATTTCAAAGTTTACAGCCTTTTTGTAAAATTTGATTTTTTGGGGGGTGGGGTAACATTTTCTCCAATATCTCATCCGCTATTGAAAGCATTTTCTTTTTGTTTTCTGTATAGGATAGCACAGTGATTTAGGCAAACTTTAAAATACTGTTAGAGTGATTTTTACTTCCCTCCTCAATTATATTATTGTTTTGCACGTTCCAAAAATGTAAAAAAGAAGTGAGCAATCGTGATTTTTGTCAATGTTTTCGATATGAGTCAGAATACCAGCTAAATGAAACAAAATGTTTAACAGATAATCGAACATATCATTTCTAACCTGAGACATAATTTGGATATTTTGATGACTAAATTAAAATATTATACCTAATTTAGAAAAATAATATTTTGCCTCCTCAATTTATTCAATTTTGACCCCCTGAAAATTCATGCACACACTTGCAAGATTACTAAAAACTGGAAATTGTGTGCAGATATGTCCTTTATGCACTAAAACAAGTTTTAGGCATACAGGAAAAGGTGGGAACGAAAATCGTAACTAAGCCTCTTTTCCTTTGGTGGCCAACTGACTATCATATAGCTTGAATATTGCTGAGTGCGGCGTAAAACAACAAACCAAAACCTTTGTCGAAACCTTTTTTTATATAGTCTAAATGTATTTATTATAAATGGGTGAAACACACCCGATGTGACGTTAAATTTGATCTCACTCACACACTTGATAAATAAGTGAAGTTATGACTACCTGTGCCTGTTGAGGTAGGAGAGAAACTTGTCCTTGGACTGGAACTCCGTCCTGGTGAGCGTCGGTCCTGTGGTCCAGAAGGTCAGCTTCTCCAAGGACCGGTCAGTCTCGGGGTACCGTTGTAACAGCAAGGTCTTTGTCTTCTCCTCTATGGAGCTCAGGTACAGGGCACTCATGTCCCGTTCCTCCTGCATGCACACCATCGGAAACACCATGAAGCAGACACTAACAGCAAACAACAAGTAAGGAAAGAAATATGGATGAACAACTTCTTTATTACAATTTGGAGCGACGTTTCTGTGTAGGTTCTAACACCGTAATCAAGCAAGTGATGACGTTTCAGTGTAGGTTCTAACACCATTATCAAGCAAGTTGTGACGTTTCAGTGAAGGTTCTAACACCGTTATCAGGCAAGTGATGACGTTTTAGTGTAGGTTCTAACACCGTTATCAGGCAAGTGATGACGTTTCAGTGTAGGTTCTAACACCGTTATCAAGCAAGTGATGACGTTTTAGTGTAGGTTCTAACACCGTTATCAGGCAAGTGGTGACGTTGTAGTGTAGGTTCTAACACCGTTATCAAGCAAGTGATGACGTTTCAGTGAAGGTTCTAACACCGTTATCAGGCAAGTGATGACGTTTCAGTATAGGTTCTAACACCGTTATCAAGCAAGTGATGACGTTTCAGTGTAGGTTCTAACACCGTTATCAAGAAGCTGATGACGTTTCAGTGAAGATTCTAACACCGTTTTCAGGCAAGGGATGACGTTTCAGTGTAGGTTCTAACACCGTTATCAAGCAAGTGATGACGTTTCAGTGTAGGTTCTAACACCGTTATCAAGCAAGTGATGACGTTTCAGTGTAGGTTCTAACACCGTTATCAGGCAAGTGATGACGTTTCAGTGTAGGTTCTAACACCGTTATCAAGCACGTCATGACGTTTCAGTGTAGGTTCTAACACCGTTATCAGGCCAGTGATGACGTTTCAGTGTAGGTTCTAACACCGTTATCAGGCAAGTAATGACGTTTCAGTGTTGGTTCTAACACCGTTATCAAGCAAGTCATGACGTTTCAGTGTAGGTTCTAACACCGTTATCAGGCAAGTGATGACGTTTCAGTGTAGGTTCTAACACCGTTATCAGGCCAGTGATGACGTTTCAGTGTAGGTTCTAACACCGTTATCAGGCCAGTGATGACGTTTCAGTGTAGGTTCTAACACCGTTATCAGGAACGTCATGACGTTTCAGTGTAGGTTCTAACACCGTTATCAAGCAAGTGATGACGTGTTCATCCATATATCTTGTCCTGACTTAGTACTCCAACTAAATGCCTCTCAAAGACGAAAAAACAAATAAGTCAAGGAAGCTTGATTGACTATACTTTGCCTCCACTCTTTGAAGGTTCACACTCACACAGAGTGAAATCTATCGTCAACACTACCCTGGCTTGTATAGTTACATCTGAGACCTGCATCAATTCGAGCTATTTACACACCAATATCATTTGTATGTGTGGCTATCATAAAACATAATTTATTTAATGTCACACATTGGATTAACGAGTTATAAATTAATAGGATATGTACGTATACCACGTGATCAAATGGAAATAAAGTGAAACCTCGTTGAAACGAACCCAGTTAATCTAAAATCCCCGCCTCCCTTACACTATTGTGAAACGAGTACACAAAAAAACATTGCTTAGTTCCAATTATTCACAAATCTGGAATCTATTTTTATTTCTTAAGACGAACACATTTGAAACCATTCCGCCCGGATTGACGAGGTTTCACAAGATTTCACGAGGTTTCACAAGGTTTTACGAGGTTTCACAAGGTTTTACGAGGTTTCACTTCATATCATTGCAGGACAACTTTGCTTCGGAGTAATGTTGCAACAACCTGCAGATAATGGATAACTGCTCCCAGCTCGACACTGTACAAGAGAGTTGCTCTGATCTTGGACGACTGGACGTAGTTGGTGAAAGTTGCGAAGAAGGTGTTCCCTGTCAGCCCCGTCAACACAGCCACGGGGATCATCACGATGGACACCATCTTAAACAGCTGCTTCCTCTTGCCAGAAGAAGTGATCGGGTTCCCTGGAAGGAAAGATATTTGGATACTTACTTATCTACACAGTAGGTGTGAGTGAGTGAGTGAGTGAGTGAGTGAGTGAGTGAGTATGGGATTGTGGGCATTGGAGGTCCAGAAGAAGTTACTTCCCTTGGATAGGGCAGGATCACATGATCGTTGGTTCGAATCTCTATGCCCTGATTATGATCCTCGGGTTGTCATGTATTGATACCTGTCCACCCTCATTAATCGGCTCTAACGAGAAGCTTTGGGTAATGGGGATTTATTAAAACATGTATATTTTCCCCGCTTTTCGGGGGCTGGCAGAAAATTAATTCAAACTCTTCAGAAACCATGGCAACATTTGTCTGAGTCATGAGACCTTTACCACTCTGGCAAAACCCACGAGCACGGGTATGGTGCTGAAAAACCTTGAAATATAATCAGGGCGATTATGTGATTTGAAAGTACAAACACGCACCATCTAAAGGGGTGCAACTCTGCACAGCGGATTGGGACGAGGCCAGTTATGCTCCCTTAACACATATATAATTGAGATAAGGGCAGTTCCACAAAGCGATCTTAGAGCTATGCAGATAGTAATTCCTTTAATTCAATAGTGACGAAAGTTGTTTAGCTAAGATTAATTAAATTTAATATTTCCGACAGTCGTTCAGCTAAAATTGTTTTGTCGAACTGGATCAAGAAATGATAACTCGTCTATCAAAATCTGATCAAACCAACATCCACATAGCTTTTGCCCACTGATCAAAACCAAAAGGTCGAATGTTTTCACACGACAGACTTAAAGAGAAGAGAATGACAACACAATATAAACAATATTTTAAACTTTTTTGGCCGTTGTACCAAAGAGAATGACGACACAATATAAACAATATTTTTAACTTTTATGCCCGTTGTACGGAAGAGAATGACGACACAATATAAACAATATTTTAAACTTTTATGGCCGTTGTAGGGAAGAGAATGACAACACAATATAAACAATATTTTTATCTTTCATGGCCGTTGTACGGAAGAGACTGACAACACAATATAAACAATATTTTTAACTTTCATGGCCGTTGTACGGAAGAGAATGACAACACAATATAAACAATATTTTTAACTTTCATGGCCGTTGTACGGAAGAGAATGACAAGGTCTCAGACACTGTTAATTTCCCACCTCGACAGAAATTCTCCCATGCAAAGCGAGGAGGGTTGGTCTGCAGCATGTCCCTGATGGCTAGGTCCAACTGTGATGGCGTCATGGACCCGGTGGTCGACTGCATGGACGTCTGACTACGTCGTATCGGCTCAATCTGGCCCTTCTTCTTGTTGAGCAACCACGACATCTTGACTGTCTGCAACGACAAAGATGATTTCTAATATACAGAGACACCTGATCAAACCTCCCGTGTCCCGACTCTGTCACTTTGGAAAGCCCATTATATTTTTGTTTGTTTGTTTGTTTGTTTGTTTGTTTGTTTACGCCCCAGGAATGATGAATGACGTGATACATGTTATTTCAAGATATTAAACGTTATTACTAACTATTAAAAGTTTATTCATCTCAGGGACGGTCGGGTAGCCTGGTGGTTAAGGCGTTCGCTCGTCAGGCCGAAACCCGGGTTCTATTCACATGGGTACACTATGTGAAACCCATTTCTGGTGTCCCCAGCCGTGATATTGCTGTTATATTGCTCTAAAAGCGACGCAAAACCATACTCACTCACTCACTTATTCATCTTAGTTGGTCCTCTTCTGTTTCCAACACATTAGTTTCAGATTGAGTGAGTTGGGTTTAAAGCCGCTTTTAACACTATTACAGTTATATCGCGGCGTGTCAGCTTAATGTGGGAGGAAAGCCCGAAGACGGTGAAACCCACGAGCACGGGTATGGTGCTAGAAACATAATCGGGTCGAACCGGGATTCGAACCCACACCCGTTCCCCAGGCTTCAGTTTGCATGTATGGAAAGGTGAGTGAGTTTGATTAAACGCTGCTTTGAACACATAGTTCAGCTATATCACAATGTGTCTGCTTTGTTTGTTCGTTTGTTCTTTAACACTACACTCAGCAATATTCCAGCTATATGACGGCGGTCTGTAAATAACCGACTCTGCACCAGGCAATCCAGTGATTGACATCATGAGCATCGATCCACGCAATTGGATACGATGACATGCATCAACCAAGTTATTGAGCCTGACCACCAGATCCCGTTAGGCGCCTCTTACGGCAAGCATGGGTTGCTGAAGACCAATTCCAACCCGGATCGTCACGGGTCAGTCCTTTTGCAGGTATATTTCTCGTACAAAGCAAAACCACTTAATTATTATGCAATGCGATGCTAGCGGTTGATCATATTTCTCTCTGGAATGGCACATATGAAAATAATTAAATAATCAGAAGCTTATGTTTTCTGTTTTCTGTACGTTATACTACAAGGTCGAGATCCCGATAGTATAGTGAGGGATCGCAATACACATAATTTATACCATGGCATAAAGCAATGACTGTGCGAAACAGAGAGAGATTAAAAAGGAAATCGTTTGTTGTTAGTATTGTGAACCAAAGATATAAGTCGATGCCAAAGTCAATGTCTGTTGCAAAGGGGAGATATCTTAACTTCTGAAGCAAATGACATCAGATTAAACTGTGAAGAGACCAATGCTCATTTCTGTTTTTCTGTCACTAACGTTTGGACGGAACTTTTTAAACTAAGTACCATGAGGGGATTGTCTGTTCTATCAGCACTATTTTGTTGCTTAAAGCTGTCTGACTGATGGGACGTCCTACTAATGGGAGGACACCTATCAATCTGAAACTGCAACTTTCCACACACGTTAAGTCACCTCTGAACACGTCGTGTTGCTAAAAGTAAACTTATTGAAATGTTGAAATGCCAAAACAACACAGTTATGATTCATATGATGCTTTCAACGATATGTTTGGAACAATTTAGAACGATCCCCCAAACACGAAATTTCTCAGTTTTAAAACGCCTCTGGTGTCAAATATTACTTTTACTGATCTGGCAAGCGATTCGTGAAGTTTGATGGACTCCCAGTCAAAGTAACTGTTCAAATAGTTTTTATGATGCCTACAAAATGTGAAATTTATGATGATATTGACAATATGTTTCTTCTGTGTATATACATCAAACCTATTGCTGAGACTATGTTGCTATTTAATTAATATGTTCAAATCTAAAGTTCAAGTCTTTGAAAGCGATTTAGAAATGATACACACATCTCACCTGATAAAGGAGTAAGTATATACTCCCAAACGCTGTTCCTCATAATAAAGAAGTTGACATCCATAAATTCTCTTCCATAAATTTGATGTTATTTTGCTGTTTCAAACTGATGTAAACCAACATTTGAAAAAGAGAAAAAACTTTTCACTTTAACTTATGTGTTAAGAATTTGAAATTGAAATTGTTTAAAATAGTTCAGCCTGTTATGTTCATCGTCAGTTCAATAGATTACATTACACTTAAAATTTAAAAGAAAAAGATAGTGAGTGAGTGAGTGAGTGAGGTGGGTTTAACGCCGCTTTTAACAGTATTCCAGTTATATCACGGCATGTCAGCTTAATGTGGGAGGAAAGCCCGAAATGATGCAGGTCTCAGACGTTTACCAATTTGGTAAAACCCCACGAGCACGGGTGTGGTGCTGACAAACCTAGAAACATTATTCGAACCCACAGTCATAGGTTTTTGGCGTGCCCAAGGGACGCAGCTCTGCACAGCGAATCGCGTCTCCTCAGACGACTGGGCCACCCATGCCCCCAGAAAAAGATAGACATTCATAGTTCTATTAAGGATATACAAACTGATAAATAAGAACATTATATCAAAAACATATTTTGCTTTTACATTTTTGCATATTTGCATTAATATGCATACCAAAAAAAATGTTAAAGACAAGTGTTTCAACCTACCGTTTCAACCTATCCGTGGAGCGCAAGTTTTGTCTATGCACAACACACTCAATGTCTGACGGGCGAATGACTTGGTGCCATGCGGAGCATTGCTCGGAAAACAACATATCTGTTGTAGTTACTGACGTCACGATCTGATTAAACAACTAATGTCCCAGCGAAAGTATCTCCTTAATAAGCACAGCAATAATTAAATTAACTGGATCGTGAAGTCTTGCTTCCAACACTAATCCACCAGTGGAAATATTGATGGTGTGTGACTATATCTTGCTCCTTGTGTGCGTGAGTATACTCAAATACAAAAGAAAGGGTATTGTGTATCATCGTCGTGACATTCTAATTTGATATTTATGTAGTGAAGAACACATACCTGAACATGTTTAATTCGACAGAAACATGGATCTGCTTGTTTGTGTTTGCGTTAGTTTTGTGCTCCTTGTGTGTTGCGTTAAAATGTTTGATTATTATTAAAAAATTATAGCGTAAAGAATATTTGAGTAACTCCCAGCTCTAGTACGCATTAGAACAGCATCAAGTTTTCTGGCCTGTCGTGAGTGAGTGAGTGAGTGAGTGAGTGAGTAGCTACTCGCCACAGCCCAACCCCATCTAATGCCACAGACTCTTTCGCCTTTGCGTACACATACTGAACAAAAAGGTTAGCGATCATGAATATTAAAAAAAACACACATTTTTTATGTAAGTATATGTTGTAAATGTATCTTTGTAAAAAGTAAAAACACCGAATGTGTGTCTCAGTTAACTGTCTTTACCAAAGCATAATATGCATCCAATATTTTCGAAGTGCCATCATCACGCATGATAATACCGAAGGAACAATATCATACACGTCTTAAGCGACAAAATAATCCGAATCTGGATGATTAAAAAAACAACCCCCAGAAAGCTTTATCTGAAGAAAAAAAAATCCCTATCGTCCTAGAGGCGACGGAGAATGACTGACGACTTAATCTTATATGTATAAAGATGGCAGCACGACCATTAAACCGTACACTGGAGCATGACGTCTTAATCATGATAACGGGCAATCCGTGGTTTGGAAATACAAAACTGTTCGATAGACACAATCATGCAGACAGTGAGTCGGTTTCGTGTATGTATCGGATTAGAGGTAGTTTGTGAAAGAAACCCTGCCATTCCGTAACGAGCAGAGTTGAAGGAGGACGCTATGCAGATAACTGTCCATTGAACGAAAACAGGACGCCGGTCAGAAGTCGGTAACACCATTGAAAAGACATTTACATCACCCAGACAGAATGGTTTGCTGCAGTAAGTACTATTCTGTACGCGTGTCCATTCATTCGAAATGTCATTTTATTTGAGTCTTTTGTTAGCTGTTGGCATTTCTTTAACTACACCAACAACAATTTCATATTCAGGGGACTGGCGTTGCTAGGACTCGCGTACAAGAGTCATTTGTACCAAGGAAAATAGGGAAAAATTAATTTGTCCTCAGGTAAAATATTTAAACAAATATTAAAAACACTTTAATTGTTCACTGAGCTTGAACATTGAACAAAGTCACCATTCCCCATCACCCAACCCCGCCCTTCTTTCCATAATATCAAATAATGGGTCGTTGACTTGATTTGGTGACGATACGTAACAATAAAATGAAACTTCCTCTGTCCGGACCCTGTTAATCTGGAACACCCAGACGAACTGCAACTACTGCTGCAGCTACTGTTACGGCTACTACTTCTTCTACTGCTACTGCTAATTCTGTTGCTTCTGCTACTACAACTACTACTACTGACCGCCTCCGTGGTCTAGTGGTGGAGCGTCTGCTCGAAGAGTGGAAGGTCGGAGTTCGATCATTTAAAAGATGCTACAGTTACCCGACCTGGCGCTTGGCATTAAGGGGCGAAAGCAAGGACTGGCCGGGGAATTCAAGGGAAGCAAGGGAAAGCAAGGACGAGTGGGGAATTCATGTAAAATTGCGGCATGGTATCTCGGCACTATAAAATCGCCATTAGTCCTGAATAGTAAAAGCAGCGACACACACAACGTACGTCGCTATATTAGTGCAATAATCTTGAACGTGACGTTAAACCCTGAGAGCAGGGACGTCCAGGTAAGACGGGTGTCTCTGTACATGTAAGTTAAAAGAGGCTTCTTCACAATCTAAAAAACCGGATGCATCAGGGTGTTATTTTAGGGGTGTTATTTATATGCTCCATTAGAAGTTCATAAATTTGACATGTCTCACAATGGTCATGTCAGAATCCAGCCCCACGAACGTAAACAAATAGCGGTGATAAATTATAAAAATACACATACCAACACTAAAATGACGAGCCAACAATTGCCTAGATTACTATAACATCAACGCCTAATTGTAGTTAGCCATGCAGGCACTCTTACTAGAAATATCATCTCCGACTTTTGTTGAACTAATCCTCGATCTTTTCATGTAAAATGTATCCCTCATTAGATCTCGACTTTCAATTTATATACGTTTATAATCAACAACAAGAATTAGAATGTTACATGTACCTTACAATATTCTTCTCCTCCTTGGATGTTACTTCAGCTTCTCCTCGCCGGGCAATTCTTTGTTTTGACATTTTGTTTGAATCAACACCTTCCTAAAAAGAACAAACTGTTGGTTTCCATAACAACAAGATATAAACACTTGACGTTAACAATGGACGTCTATCAAACTAACTTTGATGTTTCCAGTACAAGAAGTAAACGTAAATCATGTACACATGTGTTGTTTGTTTCTTGTATTGTGTGTTGACTAAAATACACAAAAAGATGATATTTGTTTGTTATCCTGCCCGTCGCTATGAATTATTATTATTATCGCCTCTTGTAAGTATTATTTAAAAGTAAACAAATCAACCTGCTCAAATAGGTTTTAGGGGAATGTGGGAGGTTTCCTTTACAACTCACTTACATGACTAAAGTAATTAAATATTGGTGCAGGCTCTTACATCTTCAACCCCACAGATTACCTCCCCAATGCTATTTAATGCTTAAATCTTTAGATGATGTTTGGCGGGTAACTTGGGCGACTGAAGTTATATTTTATAAAGAAATATTTTATTCCAATTTGGGTTTGGTTTTGTATGGCTCAATCAAGAGGTGGGTGACTCTAAAGCTTTTATTCTCCATTTTAAGCAAAGGCTCAAAGATAATTTACAGCAATTCTGGAGTGCTTCTGCAAACTCTTCTCCAAAATGTGATCTTTATAACCATTTTAAATCCATGTTAAATGTTGAAAGGTTCTTGTCATGTCCACTCCCTACCCATTTAAGAACTGTTTTTACTAAATTCAGATGTTCAAATTTTAAAATAGCTTTAGAAACTGGCAGATATAGTAAAACAGACCGTTCACTCAGATTCTGTAACTATTGTAGTAGTAAGGGAGTTAATGTCATTGAGGATGAATTTCATGTACTCTTTAATTGTAATTTATATTCTGCCCTAAGACAAAAATACCTTGTTAATCTTCCTATGCCTACTCATTACAGTAATTCTCATGTAATAAATATTGTTAGTAATTATAATGAGCAAACATTATTTCTAATTTGTAAATTCTTATATTATGCTCACACAATAATTCATGATAAATTCTGTGCCCTGTAAATGTCATGCTCACATGTCTGTATTTTGGGCCATTGGCCTTTTACTGAATAAACATGTCTGTCTGTATGTCTGTCTGTCTGCTATGCATTAATGACATAAGCTTGTTCAAGGGCTGGTCAGCTCAGAGTCAGTATACTGTGTCTGAATGGAGAATCGGCATTGTAACATGAGTCAGACCTAGTACAAGGAGCCACACATACACAAACATACACGCACACATTCACGCACGCACACACACACATACACGCACACACACACACGCGCGTCGCTATATAAGTGCCAAAAATTTGAACGCAATGTTAAGCGCCACATCACCTAACCTCATAATGAAGCGATTTTTTTCAATATTTGGGTTTTAAGCACCGTCCTAATTTATAATTGATTTTTTTTGTTAAATGTTTTCAACTTATTTTTCATGACTGGCAGTATGAATCCAAATTATAAGTCAATGCGAATTCAAGTTCTAGTCGTATGCTATATATAGTGAGTGAGTGAGTATGGTTTTACGCCGCTTTTAGCAATATTCCAGCAATATCACGGCGAGGGACACCAGAAATGGGCTTCACACATTGTACCCAGGTCGGGAATCGAACCCGGGTCTTCAGCGTGACGAGCGAACCCTTTAACCACTAGGCTACCCGACCGCCCCTGCTATATATAGAAGAACACACGTATCATATTGAATAATTTCAATACGTATGGGACGCAAGTGCGGACTTCTGACGGTCCTCAGTATGTAAACTGTTGTACACAGGAAATAGTAAACGAACAAGACATGGTTATTCAAAGGTAATGTGTTTAATCATAGCTATGTTTTTAATATGAGGTTTGCAGTGTTTCGGCGACTGTTTTTAGCCTAGTAAAGTTTTGATAACGTTTGTAATCTTTTGGTCAAATCCAATTGTCAAGTGTATACATACTTTTGTCTAGAGTGAGTGAGCGAGTTGGGTTTAACGCCGCTTTTAGCGGTATTCCAGTTATATCACGGCGTGTCAGCTTAATGTGGGAGGAAAGCCCGAAGTGATGCAGGTCTCAGACGTTTACCACTTCGGTGAAACCCACGAGCACGGGTATGGTGCTGACAAACCTAGAAACATAATCTGGGCGAACCGTGATTCGAACCCCCAATCATAGGTTTCTGGCGTGCCCAAGGGACGCAACTCTGCACAACGAATCGCGGCGCCTTAGACGACTGGGCCACCCGTGCCCCCACTTTTGTCTAGAAGTTTACATGGCGTCGATGTATAAATAAAAGCGACAAAACCCTTTCTATATATATGAGATATCTCCACTGAAGGCAGAGTCCATTGTACGATTCCCATTCTATCAAGATGTTTATGAACCAATATCAGATAGTGATGACACCAGGTGTTCGCAAAAAGGTGAGCGTATCCTGCCCCACCATTAGGGGCGCCTCCGTGGTGTAGTGGATAGAGTGTCTGCCCG